CATTCTCGTTTTGATAATTTGAACTATTATTGTATAAAATTCATTGAGTATTATATACTTGTAAAAAATTTCATTAATCGAATATTGATACGTACGTGATCAAATCAGGTTTGTATAAATAAAAAAAATAGACAGTGAAAAAATAACGATTGACAGAAGTCTGATCAGATAAGTTAGCTATCCGATCAACGTGATTTTTTACAAACATATAGTACTTGACGAGTTCAATACATTAAACGGTTTGAATTGTCAAAACATGATCCATAATAGACATCACAAACCTAACAGTACCCTCCATTTAGAGGAAGGCACATATATTCGATACGTACGTGATCAAATCAGGTTTGTATAAATAAAAAAAATAGACAGTGAAAAAATAACGATTGACAGAAGTCTGATCTGATAAGTTAGCTATCCGATCAACGTAATTTTTTACAAACATATAGTACTTGACGAGTTCAATACATTAAACGGTTTGAATTGTCAAAACATGATCCTTAATAGACATCACAAACCTAACAGTACCCTCCATTTAGAGGAAGGCCAAATCTAACAGTAATTTACATTAGGTGAGATTACATGAGTGGATATCAGAAAAAAAATATTTATAAAAAATTATATTAATAATTAAAATTATAAATATTTTAACTTTTTGTAAATACATATGTAATTCTCCCTGTACATTACATACTAAGAGTAAACTATGAGAAGTACAAGAATGTTGAAATTCTTCTTCTTTTTTTTTTTTAATCGAGAAAAAGGATGTTCTGAGGTATCATCACTACATCCGTAGGTCCAGGTTCCGGAGTAGCCGGTTGCCAACCTGATTTAACCCAACCCATAGGAAGGGACTCACCACCGAGGCACCAATGGAGCTCATCAACCGCCCCAGCCATGGACAAGTTTCGATCGGAGTACAGTGCGTGGTCGCCGAAGCGAGCCCCTGGAAAATCCAGGATTTTTCGCGCCCCCCAGGAGTCGAACCTGACTCATGGCTGTGGGAAGGCAATGCCTTCACTATTGGGCCACCACCCTCAGTGGTACGAATATTGAAATTCTTGATCAGTATATCTCCAGCAATTATTCATTGTCTCAAAAATATTGATGTGGTAATATCACAAATCAATCTAAGTAATTTATTTGTGTGGTAAATTACTTGAATTATCACGTGGAGAAGTTGTTAATTGGTTCAAGAATAACGTCACGTGATACTTTATGTACATTGTAATTGACGAAGAAAATGAGACTTGTTATTTTGTGTTGAATGATAAATATAAAAAAACAATATAATAATTTATAATTGACTAAGGATATAATTACATACTCCTAGTTTTAGATTAAGGCCTCGTTTGGGAACCTTCCATTTTAGTTAAAAAGTCAAAAAGTTACTAAATTAGCCAAAAAGTCAACAATCCATACCAAAAAGTCAAAAATTCTCTTTTCTCTTTACTTTTTGCACATCTTTCCGTAAAAAGTCAAAAAATCATCCCAAATATACTAATTTTTTTTAACTCATATTTTAGTCAAATAACAAAAAAATTACTAAATTAGCCTATTCTCAAACGAGACTAAGGCCAAGTTTGGGAAGACTAAATAAGTGTACTTTTTGTCTTTTTGGACTAAAAAATTGAGGTTGAAAATATGGATATTTGGGTTAACTTTTTGACTTTTTATTGAAAAATGTGTAATAAAAAATTGTAAAAATTGATTTGTAGGGAAAAATTTGAATTGGGAGTTGTGCAGCCGTAATTGTTGACTTTTGGTGAATAGTGTTAACTTTTTAACTTTTTGAGTAACTTTTTGACTTTTTAACTTTTTTAGAACTACCCAAACTTGACCTAACTAACAATTTTTCTATCACATAGGACAAAATAATTTTTCCCATGTCTCACATCAAGAATTTCGACGTCGGTAATGCTATTCTTAAATAATTCATGAATGCTTACAAAAGTTGGTATTTTATGGACATCCACTCAAGAGGTGACGCATAAGTACAATGTATCTCGCCAACTTCTGATGAAAATAAAATTTTAATCTAACAACAAACAATAAATCATACATGTAGAGGATTAACTTTTACTTTTCAAGCATAAATAGTGGAAAATTATTAGACAAAACAACTATAAAGAGAATGCATGTATAAGTGTAAACTCAAAGGGTTGGCTTAGTGGCTTGAGTCCTGGGGTTTCGAGGCCTGTTCCCTCTAAGTCTCAGATATGATTCTTCTAACTAATATAAAATTCTTGAGGCCACAGACACCATCCTTGCCTAAACCCACCAATTAAAGGAATTATGGTATTTTTTGAGAATTTTATTTTATTATGTGTTCAATAAATAATATGAGTTAAATAAATACACAATCTTAAAAAAAATAATTAATAAATTATAAAATATCATTAAACAGAGATGTTCTGAACCTTCTAAATAATTTATGCAACACAACTTAAATCCACCCTATCCTCCATAGTCTATGGCCATCAAAGGAAGAGCATATGACCACCCACCAACACCACATCTTTATGTTTAGAATCTCCTCTGATTTGAACCTATTGTCATCACTATCACATATACAAATTGTGGTGTTTAAATTGCTCTTATTTATTTATTTATTTTTTTTGGCTTAACTCTTTTTTGTGTTTAACCAAATGAGAAATCTCTGTGAAATTCAGGAAAGAACTAGAAAGGAGTGGAGGAGAAAACTTTATTGTGGGGTTATTGTTTTGCTTGCGTGGCAATTTGTGAGTGGTTATCCATAAAAGACTTGTTCTACTGACAAGCCGTGTTAAATGTTCTCACTTTATCATTCCATGTGATAAAGTTACATTTTAATGGGTCCGATCAATAACTAATTCATCAATGACACAATAGATGATTGAAAAAAATATGATAGATAAATATGATTATTCTAATTTTATTATGTTTAGTTTGCTATAATAATTTTAGGTATGAATTGAATAATTATTTCATGACCTCCTAATATAATAAATACTCATTCTCGGTAATTGGTGAATGGTGATTTCATATTCAATATGTTGTCATTTTTTTCGATCGAACCAAATATAAGAGTTGATATTCTCATGAAATGACCAATTTATTTCAATTTCATTTCAGTCTATCATATACTGCATTAGTTGAATGAATGAACTATTTAACCAAAAACAATGCAATCCATTGCTTATTATAAGTTGTTTGGTTGTCCTTAAAAAATTCAAAATTTGTTTTTCTGCTGTTTCCTAATCTTTCTAATTTCTATTAATTAGGGGCAAGTTATTTTTAGAAAATAGTTGGCCAAACAATGTTATATTTCCCGGGAAAAAACCCTTAAAAGTATGATTTTTAGTTGCTTCATTAAAATCAGTTAGCGCAAAATATATTTGGCAGGTAATGTGTTCGGAGCATGTAGAAGAGAAGAAAGAGTTGATTCAAGCCATTGCCAAGGACCGAAAGCTTAAAAACCTTCCCAAGATCCCTCAGGTTCCGTTCTTATTCTCATTCATACTAGTAAAGATGCTCAAGCCATCACATAGGCTGAACATAGGCTGAACCTGACTTGCGTCATAAGTGATTAATGGCCTGACATTTGTGCCCCCACAAAATGAAAGGCCACTCATCACTGACCACGTAAGTTTTACTTCACCCTATGTGTCGGACTGAACACATTTTCACATTCCCTACTTGTATTAGCAACCCTTATAAGCAAATTTGGTTTTTGCATCATCTTATGTAGCCTACATTGATAGTATGGGGAGATCAAGATCAAGTCTTCCCATTAGAACTCGGTTATAGATTAAAAAGGTTTGTGATAGTAATCTATGGCATTTTCTCTATTGGGTTCATATTATATCCAGGGTTTTTTACATATTAGGCTTTTGGATTTTCAATACTAATATATATTGGCTGATACTGTCCAATATACAGGCATTTGGGGGAGAATGCTAGGCTAGTAGTGATCGAGAACACAGGGCATGCCTTCATTGCAGAGAAGCCCAAGGAGTTGTACAAGCACTTGAAAACCTTCCTCACTGATTCGGTCCCTCCTACGTCTGTTTCAACAAGCCCTTCTGATCCCAATCATGAGAACAAAACATGCCTTTCCCAATCATCGAAACCCCAACTGACTAAGTCAGGGGCAGAAGCAGATATCAGGATCGAATATTAAATCCAACCCATATGCAATTGAAGCTAATTTTCTTTGCAGCTCAGGAAACTTTGTGCCTAACAGAAGCAGTATTTGATTGACATATTGTTGTTATGAATACAATATTGGACATTTTGTGATTGACTCTGTGGTTTTGTTAACCACAGAACTTCAGTCTGCTGAGGCAAATATTGTAATCTCCATATTCACTACACGTTCATCATGTATGCATGAGCCGGTGAATGTGGGTTTTATTTTTATTTTGTTAATAATATACTTCATTGATCCTCTTTTTATTTATTTATTTTTTGTTTTTTGTTTCTTTAGTCAATGTCAGAGAAGGGAGCACAGGAGATTGTGTTTTGATCCTAAATCTGTTGAAGAAATAACCAAAATCTTAAATCCGTTTGAGGAAATAACCATTGCTTATCTCAGGGGATTGTGTTTAGATCTCAAAATCGTTGAGAAATTTATCAAAGTGAAAAGTAATGCTTATATTTCTTTATGATTGTGTTTAGAACTTATCAGAGAAAGCTATGTTCAGATTTTTAATTTGTGAAAAATATTATGTATAAAAAAAAATTAAAAACAAGGAAAAAGTGAAATTATTACTTATCTTTCGTTCACTTTTCATTTTCTTTTCTTTTCTTTTCTTTTTCCTCCATAAAATTCTTTTATTTTCCTTGCATAAATCCAAAATCCCTCTCTGAGAGAGGAACGCAGACAAATACTGCCTATATTTCATCACTTCTTATTTCCTTCTTTTTCCATCCACAAGTCCAAAATCCATACAAATCCACTGCCTCGAAAATAGGCTTGCATCAAAGGACACAAGGACACTCCAAAACAAAGAGCAAAGAAAGACAAGAGAAGGAAAGAGGGCAAACAAACACATTTGTGGAAACATTCCTACAACAACACTGGAACAAAAAATTAGAAAAACAAGCACATCTTAACAAAGCAAACTTAAAAAGAGGTTGAACCAAACAAGGTAATAACACTTGTTCAAAACCACAATAGGATATATAAATTTGTGACAGCGAAGGTCTTTAAAAGATACTATGTGACCCATCAGATACAAGAATTTCCCACTCTTGAAACCCTTCTTCTGGGTCAGCCCACCACCTAAACAACACTTTGGTCTTCTATCCCACTAGCTCTGCAAAATATATACACGCATGAAAGTGGTTGATGTAAGAAATAAATGAAACAGAATTTTAAACAGTAAAAATGGTGGAACCGTTAAAATTAGGCTATTTAAAACCAGTACAAATTGGGAGGGGGGGGGGGGGGGGGGGGGCATCTGTTAAGCCCACCTATTATTATACTCTAAAAGAGAGACGACAAAAGACAACAACGGTTGTAATAATTAGGCTAGATAATATCCTACTCACGACCTATTATGTGTTGAAAACTTGAGCTTAAATAGTTTATGTTAAAAAAAGAGAGATTTGGTTTATAGTTCTTACCTCTGCTGCAGCTTCTTCACCTTTAGATTGGTCACCTGCCACTTTACATTATGCATTCACAAAAAATAAAAACATCAGTTAGACATCGAATGTGGAAGGAGGTAGAAAAAATATCAAGTGGATTTCAGTTTTGTTAAAATATTTTTTTATTTTTTTTTTTAACTCTTTTAAAGTTAAATCTTGCAGTTAAAACTAATTACAGGAGTACCATGTTGTCTGGTAATCTAAAATTGTTCTACACAACTCACATAACTAACATCAATTGAATTTTTTAAACATAATCTCTAGAAATTTTAAAATTCTTGTGAGTACATTGTTCATGTGTGGATGTAGAAGGATGAGAGTTTGTCATCTTCTTCGAATCAGGTTCAACATCAGTGTAAGCTCAAAGAGCAGAAGGGTGAAAGAAGAAGCTAAGCCTAAGTATTCAAGTGAAATACCAGATACCCATTTTGACCTAAATCTAGCGCAGGCAGCAGCACTTAAAACCTTCTCCATCCAATTACAGTCAGAGGTTATGAAGATCCAGGGACCACTTTTCTGAACTGAGTAAAAAAAAAAAAAAGGCACTTCTATATAGCCATGCTTAGGAGTATTTCATTTATTTTTTTTATTTTTTATTTTATATAATGCTACAGCCTGGAAGCTAGACCTTTAACCTCATCAACAAAAACAATCACAGTGAAAAAAACCATCACAAAAGAAGCAAAGCTAGCAAATAGATTTATCAAATCATCAGAGCATTGAACTAGAGAGAGAGAGAGAGAGAGAGAGGGAGAGAGTGTCATGGCATTTACCTCCCTCTTCTGGCAGATCTGAGGTCCATAATGTGAGATTATCTCTAAGAAGCTGCATAATAAGAGTGCTATCCTTGTACGATTCTTCATTGAGGCTATCAAGTTCTGCAATGGCCTCATCAAATGCTTGTTTAGCCAGGTGGCAAGCCCTGTGCAAAACAGACAACATTTCACATAAAACAAAAAATAAGGCAACGCAATACAATGAAAAATAAATTTATGGCTCTACATGCCTAGACAACAAAAGTTTTTATATAAAAAATAAAAAATAAAAACAGAACGTTATATGAAAGAAAAAAACGAACACAACAACAGGAAAGAAGAATAGACCAGATAATTAAAATTAGTATTATTAACCCTTAAAAATGCAAAACCTTAAGTGTGTGTGAGAGAGAGAGAGAGATCAACCTCTCAGGGGAGTTCAAAATCTCATAGTAAAAAACAGAATAGTTCAGAGTCAGGCCAAGTCTGATTGGATGAGTAGGAGGCAGATCTGTTGAAGCAATACTAGTGGCAGCCTGCAGCATTAAAAAAAATAATGATCCAACTAATATTCTATGTACGATAACCACAACACAAGCAAGAAACGACAACCATTCAGCAAATGTTGACTAAGCAAAGAAAAAATCAACCAATGAACGCAAACATAAGAGGGATCTGGCAAAAGGAAGTAAAAGGGCAAAACCTCGTATCCCTCAAGTGACTGATCTGACGCCTTTTTACGATCATTTCCGGATTTGAACTCAGCTAAATAACGATAGTAATCTCCCTTCCTGGAAATGTGAGAAAGAAGGGATCACAAACCATATTAATGTTAGCAGGCAAAATATATGTCAGAATAACAATGTAAAAAAGCCAGTATATTCAGCTAATAATTGCAAGATTTATGGAGGAAAGGATTACAAGCTTAAAGTAAATACACGCTCTTCTGTATTTAAACATGATCTGCGAATTTATGATAAAAATAATGCAAGGCAACAAAGTTGCAATGTAGATCAAAATTGTGCTCTGCATATTTGTTACATAGACATATAGAACCATTGTTTCATATTCATATCCAAAATCAAAATCCAATGCTTATTCCAATTTTTTGGGATCAGCCAAACTTCTGTTCAAATATTTCATTAAAAATAAATAAATAAATCTATTGAGACCCTCCGAATGCTTTCTGTCATTATCCCAGCCCATAATCAAGTGTTCCTCATTCCATAGCCCCACCTCAACACACACAAGTCTATAAAATAAAATTTAAGGGTAAAATGAGAATAAAAAACAACAAAAAAAACCTCACATCTTGTAGTAGAAAACGGTTGATTCTCCACTTGAGGACGATGGGAGAAGGTGATCATCAATGACAGACAATATGTCTTTGCATATCTTTGCGAGTTCATCTTCGACCCTCTGTCGGTAATCCTTTATCGTCTTCACATTTTGCTCATGCCCCTTGCCCTCTTCCTTCTGTTCAATGGAAGACAATATTCGCCATGATGCCCTTCTCACTCCAATGACATTCTTATACCCAACCGAAACCAGATTCCTCTCCTCCACAGTCAGCTGAACATCCAATTTAGCAACTTTCTTCATTGCTTCAACCATCTCTGCAGTGACAAAAAATTAAAAAGAAAAAGAAAAACAAGAAATTTGACATTAGATAGTGCAAACCAAAAAATTTATATAAAACCAAAAGGTTTAAAGCTCAATGAATGCTTAAAAAGGCATCTTAAACTGATGCATCTAACTTTCCCGATGATGAGGGCAATAAGACAACGCAACAGCGTAGACATTTTAAAGAAAAATTGTGACAGAATGAAACTAAAAGCTGGAATCACATCATTTTAATAAAACAACCTAATTTGTAGGGCACTACTCCCTGCAAAATATTAGTATCTCAAACGTCAATTCAGCACCCAAGTATACCAGTGTGCCGCAAAAAGTTGAACACTAATAGAATAGCCACATTTAGTTAATTGAGGAATTGGCAAATTGTGCCTCTTAATTTCAAGATTATTTCATTTGGGACAGCTAACAGCTATTTAAAACCATAATTATCTTCAATTGTTAAATATCTATCATTCAACCACATATTCATGTAAAATAGAAAGGACAGAAATGTGCTCTCTTCATACACATTACACACATTCATAGCACAGTAATAAATTCCAAAATACACCACCATGGATAGCCATTATTGTACAATGCGTCTTTGTATTCGCTGTCCACAAATCATAACATATAAAATCTTCCAATTCAACCTCTGCACGTGACATAGGATGAATTCACTCATTTCTGGATTTATTTTAATGATCTTCAGACAATGATGTACAGAAGGGTTGTAAATGGAATCCATCCATCTAAAAAAACCTTTTATCAACAATTGTTATTTATTTTGATGGTTGAAAAGAACCACTGATAGATTAGGTTGTTGATTATAGTAATTCCTCTACAATGCAAACTACCAACTTGAGCATTAAAAAATCGAACAAGGCTCTTTTTTTTATCACTTCACCCCTTTTTTATTTTTTATTTTTTATATAAATTTTCCAATTTCTAAATAAAATAGAGTCAAAAAGATGATAATGCTATTTTTGTTTGGAATATTTTGTCCATCCATCCATCTACAACTGTTTTATCGACAATTGTTCAGTTATTTTGATGGTTGAAAATAACCACTGATAGATTACTATGCTGATCATGGTAATTTTTCTCTACAATACAAAGTACCAACTTGAGCATTATATTGCTATGATAATGCTGTCTTTTATTTGGATTATTTTGATAATTTAATCACTTTTGATAATAAATTATTCAAATCAGTTTTGCTGTGAAAATGTTGAAGTTTGGCTGTCTGAATAAAAGTGATTGTCTCATAATCACTGCAGAAAAAATCTATTGAACGATAATTGGGAATTAAGCTGATTAACTTTTACAGGAAAACAAACATCGGAGTAAAAAATAAAAAATAAAAATAAAATATAATAATAATAATAATAATAATAATAATAAAGGAAACCAATTTGCTTCGAACTATAAAAACAAAAAAATTTAAAAATTTAAAAAATAAAAACTATTTTTTGTCATGTATTAACCAAGCCACTTTTCAACTTTTTATGAAATATGGGTTGAGTTTGAAGTGATGTGGTAGAGAGGTGATGTGACTTAAATAGGATAGTGACTTTTTGTATTTTTTAGTTCATGCCAAACAAGGCCTAAATTTAATCACTTTCATCATAATCAAACATCCAATAATCAAAATCAGTTTGAATAAGCCAAACCATCAAGAATTTGGGAGTGAGCTAATCCAGAAGGGAAACAAACAAACAAACAAAAAAAAAAAAAGAAGAAGAAGAAAAAAAAATGAACATTCATATTAGTTATTGAGACTGTTGAAACCAAAAGTTGACACTTAGACAACCAAGAGGAAAAATAAATAAAAATAAGACAGAAGCCTCCACTTCGAAACGTTATCACATAGGCCGGCCCTACGTTACCAGGAACATGGATTGTTCCGGTCCGTGGAATGGGAACAAGAACATGGTATGTCACATGTTCTAAAATGTGGTACGATAGAAGTGGACTTGTATATATTATACTTAAAAATTTAAGATACTTCTAGAGTAATTTTTTTTAAACTATTACACATCCAATAAAATGTAATATTTTCTATGAGCATTATGACTTATTTTTTTGATATTTTTGTCTTGTCAAAACTTAACTTACCTTAGATTCTAGTTCATTATATTTGATTTTTTTTTTCTTCCTAAGGTAACATTTAAGGACATATATTGAAAAAAAAAACTTTTGGGATCGCTTTGAATCACTAAATTTATCATTTTGCAATGGAAGGGTATCATGTTTCGGAACGTGCATACCAATACGTAATTCGCTAGGGTATTAGTGATTTCTGGTAACATAAGGTCCACCCTATATACTACGTGGTATACCCTTACAATTCTATTAGTTACATACCCACTATTTTCTATTTTTTCTCCTATGTATTACATGAAACAACCAATTGAATTAGAAGGGCACGCAACCTAGTTGGAATTTCTAGAGGACAAGATAATTCCTCCTCCACTTCTACTCTTTGCAACCTAGGCCATGTTTGTTTGGGAAACATGAGATTGAGATTGGACTAAGAATCCAACAAAATACATAATCCCACATTTGGCTAAAACAAATTGGGATCTAGACTAATACTCCACCCGCACATAGTATCTCGAAGGGATTATTAATTCTCAAGAGGGGGGTTGTGATGCAAAATAAGGAATTAAGGAGAGGTTTAGACTAATTGACTAAATTACAAAATTGATAAGATTTTGAGAATCTTTAGTCATCAAAATTCTGGGTCAATCAAAACATGGGATAGGATAGACAATTTGATTGCCCAGAACTAAAATGCTAATCCCATCTAATCCAGTCAGTCCAAACAACATAGCCTTATGGGGTTAGTAATAGAGTGAAAAAGATCAACCTGTGGGGTGTAGAAAATTGAATTACTACGCTAATCATAAAAAAATAAAAATAAAAGCCTGAAATGCTCTAACAAAGACTCTAATAGAGAAACAGTAAAGACAAAAATTAACATAGAAAAGGGATTTTAGAAACAAAAACACAAAACAGCACACTTGATCATCGCTAAATGCACATATAGATACAGATATATATATATATATAGAGAGAGAGAGAGAGAGAGAGAGAGAAGAGGTTAGTGAGAGAAGGCAATACCATCGTATCTCTCGGCTTGCTCTGCGAGCCTGGCCAAGTAAACCAGTTGTTCTCTCTCCTTTTCCATCGCCATTTTCGCAAAGGGACCCTCTCTCTCGTCTCTGTCGAAACTTGTTTGTTTTATTTGGTGCAGTGGCACTCCATAATTATTTTTTTATTTTGTTTTTTTTCGGTCAGTGTCAATTAAGCCTATTTTGAGTTAGATTAAAAGTCACATCACAAATTTAAACTTATTTCTTTCTTTCATAAAAAAATTTAAAAAAAAAAAATTAAAAAATAATTTTTAACAATCTTTTTAAAACATTCAAGAAAAAAAAAATTAAGAATAAATTATACTAATTGTTTAATACAAATTTTCTTTTCACATTTAAAAAATTATAATCATCTTTTTGAGATTTGTAATTTTATTATAAATTATTTTTTGAACTACTGATATTATATCTTAAAATTGTTGAAATGACCATTTTATCTTCTGTTTTTTTATTTTTTCTTTTTTTTATTATCATAATTACATTCTATAACTTTTTATCATTAAATTTTACTTAAATATATTTCTATTGAGCGATGATATACAAATATAAACTTTATATAGAATTTTCAAACACAATGATATAACTTGATGGTAACATTTCACTTTAAAACAAAACACACATTAACATGATTTATACTTACAACAATATCACTATAACAATATTTTATGATATTTTTCATATAAAGTTTTATATATAAATATAATTTTTTTTTTTATTTCGTCCATTATATCTAGATTAGATCAATTTAATCTAGATATATTTACAAAGTATAAAATTTGTACAAAAAAAATTTAAAAAGTCTATTGAATATAACAAAATAAGATAATGTATTGAATTTTTATATTTTTGTATTTTTTTATATTCAGTGAATTAAAAAAATTAAAAAATATTATACTTCTTAAATATATCTAGATTATGTATATTTAAAAAATAAAAAAATAAAAATTGGGTAAAATATTAAAAAAATTTACTTAAAAAAATTCAATTTTTTGTGTGAGTTAAATTAAAGAAGATGATTGTTATTTCCTTTGAAATGACATGAACAAAATATCTATATTATTTTATATATATAAAGATTAAGGGATAAATATGTATTTTAATTTAATAAGGAAATAAGTGTAATTTTTTAAATATAAGAGAAAAATCTGTATTAAACAAAAATTTTAAGAGAGTAAGTGTAATTTATTCAAAATTAAAATATCATAAAGAGTGACATTATTACTATCCTTTTTTTTCAATTAAAAAAAAAATACACACACACATAATATATAAATATCAAATATGTCCTTGGAAGGAGAAAAAAATATTCAGATTTAAGAGAAATAATAAAAAAAATTAACAAAGAAGTTGGCTTTATTATAATTTTTCCTCCTAAATAAAGGGTAGAGTGCTTTTCGAGAGCATGAACAAACTAACCTTTCGTAAACCCCATATCATATTTATTTTTAATAAATCAACAAAACAATCTAAAATTCTTTAAGTCAAACAAAAGAAAATGAGAAATGCTATTTCTGATTGAATTTATTTCGCCTCTCATGTATATAACAAAATAAAAATTATGTATATGTGTAAGACTTATTATATTTAAAAATTAGTGAAAACCACGTAGACAATGAAGAGTTTCAGTAATGAAATGTTCTAGTGATATACAACCGTCTAAAGAAAATTTAATGTATTACTATTTTTTAAACAAAAAAGCTTGCTAACATATAGTTGGGATGTTCCGCTCAAGCTATGTTGCAATTTTGACTAGACTTCCCACTATAATGTCTTTTCTAGTATTATTAGAAAATGAAAAATGTCTCGTAACTCAAATTTTGTGGCTCAAAAGTGGCTCAAATGGCCAAAACGACGTCGTTTTGGCCATTTTTATGTTGTTCTGTACTCAAAACGACGTCGTTTTGGCCATTTGAGCCACTTTTGAGCCACAAAATTTGAGCTACGTAACATTGTCGTTAAAAAATTTCTTTGCTGATAATATATAGGGCGAATTACACTAACGGCCCCTATAGTTTGGGATCTGTGTCACTTTGATCCTTGACTTTTCAATTGTGATACATTTGATCCTGAATTTTGAACTTTGTTTCAAATAAGGACAATTGAAGATATCATTGCTTAATTTTAAGAGTAAAATTGTCAATTTGATAAAATATAAACTAATTTGACCAAAAATAAATGTCAAAAAAGTATTTTTAAATTTTTAAAAATTATTTCTATCAATCAAAGATAAAATTATATAAAATTAATAAATCTTTTAGACATCTATTTATTTATTTATTTTACCAAATTTATTTTTTATTATGTGTTTGGATAATAATCATGTAATGGGCGGTTGTTAGGATTTTAATGTGTAATTAATATATTTAATATATAAAATGTTTTTAGTTTTGAATTTTTTGATTTAATAGATTAGTTTAATAATTATATCAAAGTTGTTGTCATATTTGGCTTTTGAAAAAATAGAAATTAATTTAATGAAAATAAAAATAACTACCCATTATATGATCATCATCCAAACACATAATAAAAATTAATTTAGTAAAATAAATAAATAAATGTCTAAAAGATTTATCAAGTTTACATAATTTTATCTTTAGTGGATAGAAATAATTTTAAAAAATTCAAAAATATTTTTTTGACATTTATTTTTGTAAAATTAGTTTATATTTTATCAAGTTGACGATTTTACCCCTGAAATTAAGCAATGAAATCTTCAATTGTCCTTATTTGTCCTTATTTGGAACAATGTTCAAAATTCAGGATTAAATTTGTCACAATTGAAAAGTTAGAGACAAAAGTGACACAAATCTCAAACTATAGGCACCGTTAATATAATACACCCTAATATATATATATATATATATATATATACGGATAACAATCATAAAAATATATAAACAGAGCAATTTGAGTGAAATTATTATTTTTATGGTAACTTTAATGTCTGATGTATATATATAGTTTGTCTTTTTTTATGGTTGATATTTTGATTAATTCAATATTTCTAAACTTATTAAAATGGAAAAATAAGTAAATAATCAAAAAGTAATATTTTCTGCGATGTATTCAAAGTAGTGGAGTTCAGGTAATGAGGTTCAAAGCTATGAATTCAAAGCCTTTTTCTCGTTTTTTTTTAGGCATTGTTATTTAATATCAAAAACTATATCTAATTTTTAAGTTTAATGATGCGGCAATCAATTAAGATATTAAAGATAACATTCTCTTTCATATTTTTTCTAATTGTCAACTAATCATATTACTTACATATCATTAGATTCCACAAAATAACAAAATAGTTAAATTTTTAATTAAAAGTTTATTTTTTATTTTGAATTAATTATCTTTTTAAATATATTCTCCAACAAATTTTTTTATTCTTTATTTCATTTATTGAGTCTTTTTTTCTAATTACATGCATAGTGATTTGATGTTAAACTATCACTGAAGTGCAAGCGGAGCGCAACCGAGCTTTAAAAAAAAAAAAATCGCAGCACTAAAGTGCGTAAACAGAAGCAAACACTTGCAAACAAAGCACCAAAGTGCTAAAAAAAAAAAAAAAAAAAAAAAAAAAAAAAAAAAAAAAAGAAAGACGAAGCTCAATTAGAGGTTGGAGACAACGTCTACACATCAAGCACCCACAAGACGAGTAAAGCGTTTTCGTTAAACCGCTGTAAGTATCTCTCCCATTGGTATTTTGCTTTCATAACTTAGTGCACAGAGTCGGAACTTTTTGTGTGTGAGTGGGTAGTGTATGCACGGGCGCCGTTCTTGTCACCCTGAATTGTAGAGTTTGGACCTTGAACTAGAAAGGACTCTTAGGAGACTTAGGGCCTCTGCCCGTGTTCCTAGGCTTGAGTATTCATATTCATACATTGAGCCATTAGAGATGGCAGATCCAGATGTCCCGAATGTGCCTAACCGAACCCTTAAGGATTATTTCACACCCACTATATATACATCACCATCATGCATCCAATTACCCAACACCACTGTTGCTCATTATGAAATTAAGTCCAGCACCATACAAATGCTTCCATCATTCCATGGACTAACTCATGATGATTCTTACAAACATTTGAATGAATTTTTGAAAATTTGCTCGACAGTGAGGATCCAGAATTTCTCAAATGAGGCCTTAATGTTGCGATTGTTTCCATTCTCATTAAAGGATAAAGCCAAACACTGGCTGAATTCCTTACCTGCTAATTCAATCACAACTTGGGACCAATTACAGCAACGGTTCTTGGAGAAGTACTTTCTCATAGGAAAAACCAACCAACTTAGGCGAGCCATCGCAAACTTTGCTCAAATGGATGGCGAGCAATTCCATGAGATGTGGGAAAGACTTCGAGACCTTCTCCAACAGTGTCCCCACCACCAACTGCTTGATTGGCAACTTGTTCAAACATTTTATTATGGCTTAACTGAGCCGCACCGCCAAATGGTAGATTTATCCTGTGGTGGGACATTTATGTCCAAAAATGATGTCGAGGCATGGCAATTGTTTGAGAACCTAAGTGATAATTCCCTTCACCATGCCTCCTCAGCCCGACAAGTCCGGTAACCAATAGTTGGAGCCCCAAAAAGAGAGGGCATTTTTTACGTCGCGCAAAGCCTAGAGTTAGCCCAACAAGTAGAGACACTGTCCCGCAAAATGGACCAATTATTAGCTGCGGGACATGCCCCTACCCAGCAAGATCAGCCTCAATTTCACGAGGCATGTGTTATTTGTGCGAGCCCTGCTCATGACTTGAGTGAATACCCTTCGGTATCACAATTTCCGGAGTTAGTCCAAGAGCATATGAATACGGCTCAAGGATTCTCTAACCCGGGTAATGATCCATACTCGAACACATACAATTCGGGATGGAGAAATCACCCTAATTTTTCATGGAGACCTCCTTCACAAGGCACTTCTTACAATCCTTCACCACCAAGGCAGAATTTTAATAATTTTGCCAACCAATCATCCTACCGACCACCGCAACCTTATAGACCCCCACAACCATACCGGCAACCACAACCCCCGCCTATTCCTTAGGGCAACTTTGCCTTTGAGACTCAGGTGTTGGAAGTTCTCTCAGAACTTCAGGGGTTAACACCGGTAGTTCAGTCCCACACTCACTCT